GACACAGGTCTGCGGTCGCATATGCGACCGCATAATGGTTATGCGATCCGCAAAGTGACCGCATAAATGGCCCTCATGGGCCTAAACTTACGGCCTAGGTATGCGACCAGTATGCGGTCCGCATACTCGTTCTGCGGTCGCATAATACACCGCAGAACTCCCTCCGCAAAAACTCAAGAGGGATTATGCGATCGATATGCGGTCCGCATATCAATTATGCGGTCGCATAATCGACTGCAAAAATGACCTCAAGTTGGCCAAACTTACTGCTTCACTCTGCGGTCATTATGCGGTCCACAGAGTGATTATGCGGTAGCATAATAGTCCGCAAAAATGCGTTCTTCTGTGAAATATTTTCCTCTCAGTCCGTAGGGTACTGTTCAATCCAAAATGTCTGAACCTCAACGAACAAGTTCGCCGCGAAGAATTTTCTACTATAATAACTCAGGAATCTAACTTGGCACCACTAAACCCCAAGTTTTTTTTTTTTTTTGGTTTAAATTTTTACGGGTCCTTACATAGAGGGTGAAGATATTACCTTTTTGGCGTTCAATCCTCTTGAATTCGAGTTTTAGGATTTTTTTCTCAACAATGATGTCTCAACCGAATATCTAATGATTTAAAGGGTTTACCCATGTTAATAAAGTATTAGAGAATTGAAATTAACTTAGACTCATCATTAGAACTTACCTTGGATGATGGAGGGACCTTGGAGGAAGTTGGGTTCTTGAGAACTTCCCTTTCTAGAGCAAATTTTTGTATTTTTGGGTGTGGGAAACGATGTAGGACTTTTAAAACGCCCCTCTAGGTGCGCGTCCATGCAGCTGAAGGCCCAACTGTACACCTGAACATGCAGCAAGGCAGTGGCAATGCCATAAGTGCGCTGCCGCGCACGTTACAGCTGAGCGCGCATCTGGGCGCACAGACTGCACATTGTTCAGTAAAATGTGCATAACCTTTTTCACAGAGATTCGTTTGGGCTCCATAATATATTATTGGAAAGGTATTTCAAAGATCTACAACTTAGTCGATGTTATCGAATCTTATGCACCTCACTCTCTGTCTTGATTTCAAAATAACTATTTCCACCCATAATCATCCCAATAGGACTTCACATGTTTAAAATATCACATTAATACTCATTTAACACATCCATACCTAATCGGAATTTACAAAGTGTTACAAATTCAAATGCATTTAATCACAGCCACGCTCACATCATTAGCGATTTTCTTTTATTTTTCATATGTACACTCGATTCTCGACCCCGAACTCGATCCAGATTTTAATTCTCAAACTTTTAATCAGACTTCAAAGTTCTCTTTTAAACTTTTAGCTCCAAAAATATGTTTTAGCTCGAAATCACAACCTACACAACATACCATATATAATGAGTATAGATTACTCACAATTTAGCTCAAACACAATTAAAGAGTAGCAAATAATAGGCGCAATGTAGCAAAAAATTGATACTTCTAGCCTACCATCAGAACAATAGTAGCATTCTCTCGAAGTACTACTCGCCTAATCAAGCTAATCTAATGCCTGTATTCCCATGGAATTAGAACTGACAAGAACATATTAATAATTCCTGTATAGTAACCAAACAAGGCGATTAGGTATATTCCTATCCTAACCGCGAATTTGTTCCCCGATGCCCATGTTCAAGAACTTGTTCTACTTAATCATATGTGCAATCTAGAATTCTCACTTGCGAGTTCAATCCTAGATTCGTAGATATTATTCAACTGGAGATCAAGCAATCAAATAATTAAGCGCATGAATGAATAAAAAACTATTTCATCCGTTTCAATTTATGTGAACCCATTTGACTGGGCACGTGGTTTAAGAAAAGAGAAAAGACTTTTGAAGTTGTGGTGTAAAATGAGACACATATATTTTGTGTGGCTATAAATCATTACATAAATGTAAATTATTTCAAAATAAGGAAATTGGTCATTCTTTTTGGCACGGACTAAAAATAAAATAGGTTCACATAAATTGAAACGAAAGGAGTAATACGATAAAATTATAAGAAAAATTCAAGCTGATCTATT